AAGTTGGAAAAATGGGCCTCACAAAGTAGCATAAACAAGGACACACACACACACACACACACACAGGACAGCTTTGATTGGCTTAGCGTGTGTTAAGGTGTAGACATGGAGCTGAGTCCAGCTGCACATCATTTAGAACACTTTATAACATTTTATAAATATAATAATAAACTTCATAACATGTTACAAGGTTTAATTAAGTTGATGAATCACACGATGAAGATCTGGGAGAGAGTTGTGGTAGACGTAGACGAGAGGTGACCATCTGTGAGCAGCAGTGTAATATTATTAAGTGCTGTGTGTTGTCATCAGTGTATGTTTCCACACAATGACCACATTAGTCTCTGCAGGTAACCCATCGCACCTGGGACACACCAGGAGCAGTGGGCAGCTATGTAGGAGCAATTAGGGATTGGGTGTCTTGCTCAGAGACACCATGACATGTGGGAATGGCTGGGGATCGAGCCTGGGACTGGTCCCGAGTCGGCTGCCCTACCTCTATCCCACCTTGACCCCCCTATGGTATGGTTTCATGCCAAGAAAGAGCACCACAGACGCCATCTTTGAATTGAGGACACTGATGGAGAAGTAGAGAGAAGGTCAGAAAGAACTCATTGTGTCTTTGTGGATTTAGAAAAAGAATCTGACAGGAGGACATGTTAGACTGGTACAGGACATGCGTGAGGACAGCAGGACATGTATGAGGACACCAGGACATGCATGAGGACAGCAGGACATGTATGAGGACAGCAGGACAGTGGTGAGATGTGCAGTAGGAGTGACAGATAGCTTCAAGGTGGAGGTGGGAGTGCATCAAGGATCAGCTCTGAGCCCCTTCTTGTTTGCTCTGGTGATGGACCGACTAACAGATGAGGTCAGGCAAGAATCCCCGTGGACTATGATGTTTGCAGATGACATTGTGATCTGTGGAGAGAACAGGGAACAGGTGGAAGAGAACTTGGAGAGGTGGAGGTATGCACTTGAAAGAAGAGGAATGAAAGTCAGTCGTAGTAAGACAGAGTCCATGTGTGAATGAGAGGGAGGAGGTGGAACAGTGAGGCTACAAGGAGCAGAGGTCACAAAGGTGCAGGACTTCAAGGACTTGGGGTCCACTGTCCAGGAACATGGGGAGTGTGGTGAAGAGGTGAAGAAGAGAGTCCAGGCAGGATGGAGTGATGGAGAAAAGTTTCAGGAGTGATTTGTGACAAAAGGGTGTCAGCAAAGGTCAAAGGAAAAGTTTACAAGACAGTGGTGAGACCAGCTATGTTGTATGGTCTGGAGACAGAGACATGGACAAAAAGACAGGAGACAGAGACATGGACAAAAAGACAGGAGACATAACGGGAAGTGGCAGAAATGAAGATGCTGAGGTTCTTCTTAGGAGAGACAAGGATGGAGAAGATCAGGAATGAGATCATCAGAGGTACAGCACAGGTTGAACAACTGGGAGATAAAGTTAGAGAGGACACACTGAGATGGTTTGGACATGTCCAGAGGAGGGACAGTGGTTTGAACATGTCCAGAGAAGGGACAGTGGTTTGGACATGTCCAGAGGAGAGACAGTGGTTTGAACATGTCCAGAGGAGGGACAGTGGTTTGGACATGTCCAGAGGAGGGACAGTGGTTTGAACATGTCCAGAGGAGGGACAGTGGTTTGGACATGTCCAGAGGAGGGACAGTGGTTTGGACATGTCCAAAGGAGGGACAGTGGTTTGGACATGTCCAGAGGAGGGACAGTGGTTTGAACATGTCCAGAGGAGGGACAGTGGTTTGGACATGTCAAGAGGAGGGACAGTGGTTTGGACATGTCCAAAGGAGGGACAGTGGTTTGGACATGTCCAGAGGAGGGACAATGGTTTGAACATGTCAAGAGGAGAGACAGTGGTTTGAACATGTCCAGAGGAGGGACAGTGGTTGGGACATGTCCAGAGGTGGGACAGTGGTTTGAACATGTCAATAAGGTTTCAGGAGGATGTCCAGTGGGAGGAGTCAGCAGAGGCCGGCCAATCACCATGAGGCTCAGACGCCTCAGTTAGTGTTAGTGTCCCGTCTCATCAACCTGTGGGACATGGAGGACAACAGCTGTTTGTCGTTTACATTTAGTTTCTAACAGCATGCCTTCGCTCGTCCTGTAACCTCCCAGAGACGGCACCAGGTCAAACGGGTCTGTCCTGCAGAAGCTGCAGATACATCTGGAGTCAACCTGATTCAAGATGGCCGCCACAGCTAATGGAACTCAACAAACACAGTTTGACGGATCCTGAGCTGAAACTGGGTGTCGGTGTTTAAAACTTTACAGCGGCGGGCGACGTGCATTCCTCTGACGTTTAACGTTCAAAGTGTTGAACTGAGCTGACTTCACTTTGTTCTCAATGTTTGAATCAAGACAAAAACTGAGACTTGTTTAAGTTTTCTAGTTTTATTGTAACTTTTCAAACAGCAGAAATCACTCAACAACCCACGAAACCTGAATTATATAAATCTAAAGCATAAAACCAGAATATGTTTTTACTTCTGCCACCACCACAGACCTGATTCAGACATTTATCACCAGTAAAGAACTTTATGAACCCCCCTCCGTAAAACTTCACGTTTATTAATGTTTTCTTCCCTCATCAGTTCCTGCAGCCGACCCGCTCCCATCACCACATCCCAGTAAAACCAGATTCAATCTGAGCTGCACACAATCTGGGTCGACCCATCATAGGCCCACATCCTGGATCAGAACCAGGTGAAGGCAGAGCCCGGTCTCCTTGGAAACCCACCTGAGAAAACAGCAGGACCAAACTGTAACTCCATCAAACAGAACCAGAATTTGATACAGTTGATCATAACATTCTATTACAGAGGCTTGAATATGATGTTGGGATTACAGGAACAGCTCTAAATTGTCTTAAATCATATTTATCTGATAGATCCAATTTGTAAATGTAAATAATAAATCTTCTTCATACACCAAAGTTAGTCATGGAGTTCTTCAGGGTTCAATGTTTGGACCAATACGCTTTACCTTGTATATGCTTCCATTAGGTAAAGTTATTAAACATCCATCCATCCATCATCTTTACCCGCTTATTCCATTTTGGGTCACGGGGGTCGCTGGTGCCCATGTCCAGCAATCACTGTGCGAGGGGCGGGGTACACCCTGGACGGGTCGCAAGTCCATCACAGGGACACATAGAGACACACAACCATTCACTCTCTCACTCACCTAGGGACAATTTAGAGTTACCAATCAGCCTAACATGCATGTTTTTGGTCTGTGGGAAGAAACCGGAGTAACTGGAGAAAACCCACGCATGCACGGAGAGAACATGCAAACTCCACCCAGAAAGGCCCCTGGACCGGGGTTTGTACCAGGGACCTGCTCGCTGAGAGGCAGCAGCTCTACCAGTTGCACCACCGTGCTGCCCAGTTATTAAACAACATGAGATAAATGTTCATTGTTATGCTGATGATACTCAGTTATATTTGTCCATTAAACCAATGAATCCAATCAGCTACTTAGACTACAAGCATGTCTTAAAGACATAAAAACCTGGATGACCCTTAATTTTCTCCTGTTGAACAGACAAGACTGAGGTTTTGGTTTTTGGACCTGAGCACCTCAGGAATGAATGTTTCAGTCTTTCTCCCTCCTTAGATGCATTAATCTG